TTTAAGCTGCATGCAGATGTTCATTTTTACTAGTAAGAATTTTTTACCAATAGAAAAATAGCCTGGGAGATGGAATGTACATAATGCTTCAAGCTCCATGGCTGGAGAGCTTCACAGGCCAGCTGTCTAATCGGGGCAGTAGAGGGCTGCTCCGTGGGTCAACCCTGGCATTAGGGGAGCCCATTCATTGACAGTTTGCCCTCCACTGCCTGGGAAGTGGGCAGGCTGTCAAGTTGCACTTGGCAACTGCTGAAAAGGGAAGGGTTCTGGCCCTGGGAAATTCGGCTTCTTCCTCCTCCCCCCCATTTCACCCATCAGCTAATTGGTGGGATGGGGGTGGAACCTTCCCTGTTCCTGCTACAGAAGAATAGCCCCTGCTCCTTACAGTCCTCCGGGCTGACCTGGAGCAGTGCAGGGAATGAGGGAGCAGCCTGTTGCTGTGGCTAGGCTCCAGGAGCCTTGCTGCTGCGGCGCACAGCACACCTTGTCCTGCACTGCTCTGTGTTAGCTTGGAACAGTGGGACAAAGTGGGGGCAAGGCTTGGGGGCCTGGGTGCCCACTGCAGCCTGCCTTGCCTCGTTCTGCTTTGGATCAGCCTGGAGCTAGTTCTCTTTTTCAAGAAATGTCTTGAACATCTTTACAATTCTGTTTGTTTTTTTCCTCGCACAAGTGGAATGTCTGTACGTGGCTTAGAGCACGTTGATTGCACACTGGTATTTTTCCTGAGAGGCAGTGCTAGTAAGTTATCTGGGCTACTTTTGATTAGGAAGAAAGTGGGCTTGGAGCACCCTTGCTGTGTATTATAGTTTGGCACTCCTATTGTCATGCTGGGGTGGTACAGACATGCCTTTAAACTCTGAGCTCTTTCTGGGATTAGTATTGTTCACATTTCTGGAAAGGAGCATATGGATGGTTTGCTAAACTCACAAAATAGTTATGGGGATGGAGTTTCATCTTTCTATGGTATTAATCTAGTTTTAGAGGCAATTTTTGGATGGGCTATTGCTATATTCCAGGATGGCCACTTTTATGGAATCTTTTTGTGGCTCATTGTAATAGATATCCAAGTGTTGACACCACTAATATAGTTGTCTTACAGTATCAGATCTTGACTGTGCGGGGCCCTAAGGTAAAAGTTATTCTTTGACTCCAGTTATAAGTCTTGATTCATTTTATCCTGCTTTCAAACATCTTGTGTTTATTACAAAACTGTCTTTATTGTGGTCATCGTTAGTCCAGGATTTATTACCCATCTCCTCCCCAACTTTTTTTTTTGTCCTGAATCCCCTTGATCTGCCTGATCTGTTTGAAGGGTGGCTTTATTATGTTGTACAGCTGGGTGGATCAGGGATGGCACTTCATATATTTATACTCTTGGAAATGAACCTGCCTCATCCACTGAGATTACACTGTGCCTTCTAACTTGATTGTATTCAAACAAACTAAACGATTCCTTGAGAGGAGTAGCTGTATTTCTGAAAACAAATCTGTTGGGCCAACGTGTTTCAGACTTGGTTATTTACAAAGTGTCACTCTTCACAAGGCCCTGAATGCTTGTAAAAACTGAAAATTAGGGTCTTGTAAGGTGGGAATGGTCAAATGTTAAGTGCTTTGGGTGGTGATTATTTTTATCCTGTTATGTCCTTAAAGGTTTAGTTAATTGTTATTTGTAATAGCTTGTGAGAAGGCTTCTGGGCTGCGAATTTGCTTTGCAGAATTAAGTTTTTTTAAAAAATGAACTATACAATTATAGCATTGCAAGTGCTCTTTATATAGTACTTGAAGAATATTTATATTAATTTTGTAGTATTGCCCATTATTTTTGGAGTTGGTGCAAGGTAAATGTTTTCCCTGTTAACAATTCACCTGATTCCTTTGAGTTTCCAGTTCTTTGCACCCTACTGTAATGGGTTTGTGTTTGCGGGAAACAAGGGAAGTCTGGGGAAAAAGTGCATCTTTACAAACATTTGTGGCTATGAAATTGTCTCCACTCAAACCTAAACTTGCCTCTTGCAAGTTCTGTACTATAATGGAAACAGTTCTTGGGTCAGGGCAGTTGAGATTTTTTAAGGCCCAAACTGTGTCAGCTTCAGACTTTATGGAGTTTAGCAATTTACATGTATAATTCCTCTACTAAAATCTTAACTACATAAGTTGGAAGACTCTAAAGGTCTTCCATCTTATCATCATATTTACTTGAATCTAAGGTGACCCTGAATATAAGACAACCCCACCAATAATTAGATTCTGTATATGGAAAATGTATAAATTTGTAAACATTTTGCAGTTACAGAATCTAATTATTGGAAATTTTCCTTGAATTTGTCCCTTTCCTGCTGCTATTCCAGGGAAAACAAATCTATGGGGTCAGGTAGCCCCCTTGCCCTCTCCACCTCCCTGCCCTTTACTGTCAGACCCTACTATAAATAGTACAAACTACACATTAGTCCAAAGCCAAAAGGCTCGTGATTTATTATTTTTACTGGGCTGGTCCCCAACAGAGACAACAGTGTTTGAGGCCATGGTGGCTCTACAGCTCAGCACTGCTCAGTATGTGTGTGTATTCAAGATACCCCTACCACAAAGGCCACGTGCTAATTATCCCCCTATTCATGACGAACTGTGTGTTCTTGTCATGAGTCCTGGGATCCTCCAAAAATGTATATGTAGAAGAAGCACAGGGCAATCTGATCCAGTTCCATCTCATGAAGGATGGGACCTCACTAATCATATGTGCCAAGTTAAGAGAAGGGGGCAACAGAGGGAGTCTGGATGAACTATTTGGGGCCCTGTTTGGTGATATTTACCAGACATTTAAGACCAGTGAAGAAACAAGAATCATTAGAAATGGGAAAGAAAGATGGAGCTCAGTCATGGGACTGAAGAGGAAGTAAAAATGTATTCAATGTAGTGGCTTGCCATGACTTGGAAAAAGAGTCAGAACTGAGGAGGACTGTGTCCACTAACATTCAGATGGACTATACTAACTGTATCCTTGTGGTAGGTTTCCATCAGCATCTTGGGTTTTTTGGCTAAGATTAAATGCAGCTATTTTTGGCACCAATTGGAGGGCGTTAGGGCTGGCTCTGCCATCCAGGTGCTGGCCTAGTATTGTACTTCCACATCTGGTTCCAGTTCATTTTGGAGGGAATACCTGCCTGGGTTTTTATTTTTGTTGTATTCCTTTTTTTTTTCTGCCCTTAAAAAACTTCTTATGACATGAGTTTTATAATCATGCTCAGTGATGGTTGTATTTAATCAACTTCCTAGGTAGTTTCTGTTACTGAGCACATACTGCTTTTTGCAGCAGTTTGATGATAAACAATGTACTTAATGAGTTTTCCTTGTATGCGATTATAAGGCAAGGGGCTTTTCCCCCCATGCTGATTGTGAGGAAAAAATCTTCATCTTGTATTCGAGTAAATATGGTATCTCTCAAACTTTTATTATACCTAATTTTCTTCTGGAAATCCAGATTGATTGTGCCCTTTGATATATATATATTTTAATTTATTGTTTTATTATTTTTTTAAAACTCTTCTGATATCATGATAAAACTACATAATAGGGTTCTGCTCATTGGTGGAAATGTAAGCCACTTTAGTTCTACACTGTGTAGAAGATTAGGTCTTAATGTATTTTTACCAGAAATATAAAATCTAGCTCAAGTATAATTTTGCCTGTTCATTTGTTAGTCTTATTCCATGGAACTATGATGTGTGCCATATCACCCAAAACATTGAGTAATGTTTTTTTTTTATTTTTTCCAAATTCAACAAATTGAAAACATATTAAATATTTTTATTGTACCATACGATTCTCTGTAACACATTACCACGCTTATGTGACTGAGATTAAGAGCTTTCTGTAGGATTTATCTATAGAGATACTTGCACTATTTTTAAAAAATTGATAATTACACATGGTAACACACAATCTCCCTTGAATTACAAGGCATGCACCAGTCACTATTTGCGATTTACAAAGAACCTTCCTCAGAAGGGTGTGTCTTATGCATTAGGCCATTGTGGAGATTTATACATGTTTCTCTGAAGCATCAGATACTAACTAACCTGGTTGACAGGCAACTGGACTAGCTAGTTCACTGTTTTGATGTGGTAATTCCAATATTCAGACAGTTTATTTTCCTTCTTCTTTTTAATCATTATCTGGAACTTGTTTCTGTTATAAGCCTAGTGATTTAGGACTTGGAGAACCAGTTATGCTTGTGTAGAGACAGGCAGGCCTGCTTGGCTCTGGTCATGTAGATTATTTGAGTGGCAGTTACAGGTAAGCAAAGCCACAGCTATGTTAACGTGCCAAAAAACATACCAAGAAATAAAAAATGTAAGGCCTCACATTTCAAGGAATAAGCCAACTACTAATTGCTTGGAGTAAGGAAGATGTTTCATTCATTAGGCAGTTTATTTCATAATTGTCCAATTGGGAATTCTTTGAAAAATCTGGTACTAGATACCACCAGAAATTTGGATGTCAGATCAAACCATTACACCTATATGATGATTCCTGTGTGTTTAGCTATAACAAAGTTCTTAAATAATGCCAACTTTTTTCCATCCAAAATCTTTTATCCATTTTGTAGTGGGTTGATATTTAGTTTTGACTTCTCTGAATATAGACCGTTTCATCCAAGGGAAACGTTAGTGTGGTAAGGAATTTTGTTACCACTGTGATAGTTGGTTGTTTTTTAAGCAAAGTATGTATATAGTCAAGAATTGATAGAAAAGCTTTCCTTAAAACTTTTAAGGCAGTCTGGTCAGCCACTGTAACTCATTGCTAACAAAGAACGCTTCTAGCTTCCCTGGGTGTTTTTTTTTTCTCCATCATGACTTTGTTTTCTCTGATATCAGACATCTCATGATGCAAAGGTTTTTTTGGATTAAGTGGTTGTAGAAGAGAATACCATGCAAAAGTAACAATGATAGAGGAGAATTAGTTCAAGTTTTTCCTGACACTTGCTGATGGAACTTCTTTTGCAGGTGAAACAGGCAACCAATCAAATTGTGATGAACTGTGCTGATATTGACATTATTACAGCCTCCTATGCACCAGAGGGCGATGAAGGTAAGAAATTGTCTTGAAGTGGTGTATTAGTGTTCATTCACAATGTTTTTCATACTGTAAGTGCTGTCACTCATAGTAAACATCCCCTATATCAAGAGTTTACCTTGTACTGTAGTTCTTGAAGTTGGTTTACTTCTATCTGCCATACTTAGATTTTGCATATAATGTTGTGGATGCTCTTAGATTGGGCGTGGGCAATTATTTGGGCCCTGGGGGCCACATAGAGAGCTTTGTTGAGTGTTGCTGACCTGGCTCGCAACAACAACAGGCAGATGGGGTGCAGTATTTGGGAGCAGGAGCAGGGTGGGAGAGGCCAGGATTGTGGGGCAGGAGCAGAGTAGTGACAGTGTGGGGCCTGGGGTAGGTTCCCCCCCTGGCGGGGAGGCTGATCTGCTGCCCACATGCCCCTGTGACAGGCATGGATTCTGTGGGCAGGGGCTTACAGGGAGTGGATCACAGCTCTGGCCATGGCCCCAGAGGCAGTTCCCTGCCTATCCAGCTGCATGACCTGCCTGTGTGATTCCCAGGTGATCTCCATGGAGACCCTGGGATTGTGGGGTGGGGACAGGATGGGGCCAGGGTCCTGGGCAGAGCCATGATCTGCTTCCTGTATACCTCTGCCCGGGGGCAGAGGGGCATGGGGGACATGCGTGGGGGTGGGGGGAGGCTGCCTGGGGGTGGCTGAGTGGATGGATGGGAGCTGGAGCCAGGGCCCCACATTCTGGGGCAAGAGCCACCTGGCTGAAACTTTGTCCACGCCTGGAACGGCTCAGCAGGGGCAGGAGGAGGAGCCCCTGCTGGAGATGAGGAGAGCTGAGCTTCTTCTGGGCAGCTGCAGCTGCACTGAGAGCAGCCCAGCTGGTAAGCTGTGTGCATCAGCCTAGGCTGGGGCCGGCGGGCACAGGCAAAGGGCACAATGCTGTCTGTCCTGGAGCGCTCCTGCAGAGCGCTATGGGTTCAGCTGCAGCCTGGGTCCAGTCAATTGGCAGGTGCCCCCTGCAGGCCAGATCCAAGCAGTTGGCAGGCCAGATCCACCCCGCGAGCCGTGTTTTGCCCACCCCTGTCTTAGACTGAATTGTAGATTCTGTAGTCTGTACTTTCAGGGCCTGCAGTTCAACACAATGACAACATATAGGCAACAGCTCTGGTTAAAGAAGGGGTAGAGGAATCGATAGTGGAATCAAAATAGAGAGAAATATATTTGTGGAAATCAAAGTAGAGAGAAATATTTGTGGGAGAAATATATTTGTAGGAGAGAAGGCATTTGATGCACTTACACAGAAAAGGGTTCCAGGCATAACTAAGTAGATGGAGGAGACAATAGGAATAGTAAGAGATAAGGATTGGGAAGGAATAAAAGTAGCAAGTGGTGGGGTTGAGATTACATGGGGCCTTAACAGAGCGAAGACATTTGAATTGATAAGGTTTGACTGGGAGCTGCTTGAAAAGATTCAAGGATTAACATGTGTATGCAACAAAGTCATGTGAGAGAAGGTGATTTCAGCAATGTTTTGCATAGACTTGGAGGTTGGTGGAGAGAAATTAAAGTAATGAGAGGATGAGATGACCAAGATGTGAAAGATATGGTCTTCGAAACAAAAACAGGTACCCTGCAGGAACATGTGTAATCTTTCTGATGTGTATAGTTTTTGGTGTAGCTCTTTGGTAGATCAGTCATGACAACAGCCATTTGGTACTCTTATGTATAAGAGTACTACTTAAATCATCCAGCCAGTAAACAAGCTCTGTACAGTTTTTTCTAACAAGGGAAAGCTGTGATAGTGATGTCATGAAGTAGTGCCTTTAAAACTTGGTTATAAATAAGATGTCTGTGGTTTTGGATTTTAGGAAGTTGTTTCTCAGGTTTATAAAATAAGTTTCTATTGTCTTAAAGTGTTTCAGTTGCTGGAGAAATGAAAGGGTTGAAAAGCAATGGTGTGTTATAGAGGCGCACTAATATATCAGTTGCATATCATATTGGCACCGATAAGAGGAAAATTAATATTATTGGCTATTGACTTTTTCTGGCCGGCATAGCTGATAATGTTCACCGATAAATATAATATGCCTTCTGGCCAACGTCTCCACACACACGTGGCCAGGAATGCAGCCAGGCAGCATGGAATACAGTCAGGGCAGTGCACAGGACCTGGGGCCAGGGTGGTGAGTGGGATAGAGCCGTGGATATCTTGTCTGGGGGGATGCAAGGAAGGGGTGGCTCCCCAATGCTGCGTACACCCTTCTGGGGAGCCAGGGGGGGCATGTGCTGCCCCTGATTTGTGTGCAGGTTGGATGCAGGCTCAGGGCTCTTCACTCTGCTGCCTTTCCCTCAGGAGCCTTGCACCAGTTGTGTGCCCGCTGCCCCCACTGCTGCCAGGTGGGCAGGGGGCAAGTTGTGCCTCCACTGCCAGGGGCCAGCACAGGGCCCCCAGGGCAAAGGTAGCAAGGTAGAGAGCCCAAGCCTACAGAACGCAGCCTGCATCTGCCCTCGCCCTGCTTGGCTCAGCTGCAGTTAAGTGTCCCCAAGCTTAAAAATGGTGACAACAGTGCTTGAACTAAAGCTCATTCAACAAGCTTTAGTTCAAGCTCCCCCACCACCATTTTTAAGCACTGATCTGCTTGATGAATTGCCTGTGGTTCTGTCCCTTTCCCCACCCTAGCCCCAAGTCCCATTCACCACTGTGGCTGGGCAGCGTTCCCAGCCCACTCCCTCCTTCACCTTCACCTTGGGGGCCTTGATCTCACCCGCCTCCCTCCACGCCCCTTTTCTTCTGCATGCTCCTTCCCCTCCACAGAATTACCTGCAGGGAGCTGCTCTTCACGTTGTCCGGCTGCATTCCTGTAAATTGGTTATCAGATTGGTATATACCGAGATGGTTGGTTAAAAATTGGCTATCGGTATCAGCCAAGAAAATCTTTATCCGTGCACCCCAGTATATTAAATTTCTTTGAACATGTAAGTAAAATAAAGCTAAAATTCCAGACTGGATTTAGCAGGGACAACTCAGATTTGTTATGGAGATATATTGGGACATGATTAACTTGATTACTATTGCAGTGGTCAAAAATGCTGATTTTTTTTTTTTCATGTGACCAAAAAAACATCTATGATCAGACTTTGCCTATAAATTAGTTTGTGTTTTTATTTAGTTTACTGTTAGAATTATATTTTTTTGCAAACATCAGGAAAGTTCCTCCCAGTTCTGGCTCTGCACAGCTAAATGTTGCCCAGACAGATAGGGATCTACGCTTTAAGGAAGTAACATTCAGTGGGTATACTTGGGAAAGTGGAACCCTCCGCAAGAAGTGCAGTAGCTAGCCAAAGAGCAACAGGTCTATAGCAGCCAGTATTGTTAAGCAGTTTGGAATATGTCTATTCAGTTTTGCTGGATGTGGGAGAATGTAATGCTAATTTACTTCAGACTGTGTGCTTGTATCTTGGCTCAACAATTCCCTCCCCCTCCCCAAACAGCTTTGTGTGCTATTGCTTGAGATCTTTGGTTTTGTTAGATGCTCCATGCAGTGGTGGAGGATATAGAATTTAAATCCAACAGTATCTCATAGGCACATGCCACCTCTTGAAGTCTTTTCAAGCACCCAGGAAATGACAAGTACAAATGGGGAAGGATGAATTAACTCAGCTAAGATGAACACTTCCTTGCTGTGGGAAAGAAAGAAGCACAAGAGACTTAAAACTGAGTGCCTTCCCCTTCCTTCCCCCTCCCTTTTTTTTTTTTTTTTTTTGGTCCCACTTATATTACTGTTATGAACTTAATAATATTTCCCTTAGATGTGACTGTATTATGGTCTTTTAATGCTGGCATCCTCGTTGGGCAGCTTGGCAATACAGTTGCAGACTTTAATATAAAAAAATTACTGTCTAACAATGGTGTGTCCTTTGTACCTTTTCAGTGTGTATAGTCTAGTAAAATGGAAAAATATTTTTATGGTTAAATGACTTCTTTCTAATTTTAATTAACTTTTAATGTGGTTTTTACATCTCTCTGGCTGTAGTGTATATGTACATGTCAAACTGTTAAAATCATAAATATTCAAAATGCATAATTTTTTTACATAGCACATGTATTAACAGGTTTCTTATATTTTGATTTTTTTATAAGGTTATGGCATTGCAGTTTGGGAGGCTGCCAGATAGTAATAGCTTTCAAAGTAAAATTGCATGGAATTGGCAGACTATTTGTAGAGGATATTTGCAGGCACCTGTTGATATGGCTCACTAGTCATTCTTGCTAATACTGATATTGTGTACTGCTTCTAACTGATATTTATGACTGACTACAAATACACAATACAGTCCTATAAAGGAATAGAAATAAAAACCAAATTAATTGGATTTTACCACCAGTAAAAGACTATTACATACTATTAACTTTAAAAGCAAGAATCTTGGGTATCATAGTAAGATTGTGTTGCTTGTCTCCTTTAAAGGTACAGCTAAGATTTTACTACCTTGAGTTCTGTCCCTCAGTAGAGAAGAATTTCTTATGAACTCTTTACTAAATGAGCAATGAGATAATCAGCCTCTTAACTCCTTTCCTGTATGGTTCTATTCTGCAAAGTATGGTGTAGTAATAGAATCTTGCAAAACAGTATGTTCCCTTTGTTTATGGAGGCAAACCTACTAAATTCGGTGAAACTGCTGGGTGGTTTGCTGCTGATTCCTAGTAGCCTTTCTGAGCTAGCACAAGCATAGTGGAGAGCGATAGATATAACTGCAGCTTTTGTGGCAACAGAATTCTAAAGCTTTTTTCCTCTGCTGCATGTGTTTTGCCGCACTGAAGACTGGTACAGGTGAATCCAGGATCTTCATTACTAACAGTGATGATGATTGAACTTAAGAATGAATGTTAAATACTAAAATTGGAAAAGTAATTCTAAGACTAGTGTTGTAATTGTAGGCTCAGTATCTTTGGACGTAGCACTTGAGTCAGCTAATGTTGCACTGGAACAGTGATGCTCAATTTACAATTCAGAATTTT